ACCGTCCCTAGCTAAGACTGTAACAAAGGAATAAGAACAATGTACAAATGTGCCTCAGACGATGTATGTATGTATGGATTGTGATAAGAGTTGTAAGAGCTCCCAATAAAATGATTAAAAACAAAACAAACCAGAGACAAAAGGAGTGTTTAGAAATTTAGTATTATAATCGAAATAAAAATTAAAGGATTGGACAGTAAAGTTAAGGAAATATTTTTAAAAAGGAAATAAAAGAGAGGATCAGTTTTTAAATTACTCAAATTCCAGAAAGGGAGAACATAGAAATTGAAAGTAAATAAAGAATTAATACATGAGAACTTCCCAGAGCTTAAGGACATGAATTTCTAGAGCAGTGGTTCTCAACTTTCCGTATGCCACGACCCTTTCATATAGCTCCTAATGTTTTGGTGACCCCCAAGCATAAAATTATTTTTGTTGCTACTTCATAACTGTAATTTTGCTACTTTTATGAATCATCATGTAAATATGTGATATGCAGGATGTATTTCATTGTTACAAATTAAACATAATTAAAGCATAGTGATTAATTAGAAAAACTATGTCATTATAAATTTTGAAATATTTCTAGTTACATATCAATGAAATTTTGTTTTGAAGCATGGTGTAGCATGGGTAACAGTCTTCACATGGGTACTCATCTGTTGGCGTATCTGCATGTGGGCGGGCCATCTGGAGACAGATAGGAGCGGTGTCTCAGTTCCTAAGACTATCGGAAATAAGTGTTTTCCATTGGTCTTAGGCAACCCCTGTGAAAGGGTCATTCGAGCTCCAAGGGGGTCGCGACCCACTGGTTGAGGACCGCTACTCTAGAGTGAAAAGATGAGTTTTCTGAGTACGTAACAAAACCACTAGAGAAAGTCTTAACTTCAAGGCACAATAGACTGTTGGAATGCCAAGGATAAAGGAAGACTTACATGCCTCCAGAAATAATTTCCAACTCAAAATTCCACTTCCTTCTGAGCTATCAGTCAAGTGGGAATAAGGGTGAAAGACATTTGCAGATAGGGAGTCTCAAATTATCTATCTATAGCTTATAGTCACGCTTGATTAAGCCTTTGCTTGAGGGTTGTTGGGTTTCTATAAATATATAGTGGAATAATTTGAAATAGAGTAGCGGGCATGTTTGTGTCATGGTGAACACAGTGCCACTGAATTACACATGTAAAATTGAGTTGTTAGATGTTTATATATATTTAACCCAGTTTTTAAAAAAACAAATGCATGTACACATATGATCTCAGTGAGGCAAGGACTTGTTCTCCGTTGTCCTTTCACAGCCTTGACCAGTGCTTGGCCCTGGTGCGTGCTGAGTGAGATTTACTACATAAAAATACAACTTTTATGAAATGGAACCCATTTTAAACTTGTTTCCATAAACTAAGATAAGCATCTCACTGCCATACTGCTTTCTATGTGCACAACAAAATTAAACATGAAGTCCTGGGAGAGCTAATCAAAAAGATTTGTTTCTACTTGGAAAATAACCATATGTTGTCCTTAGATTTTACCCTTTTAGAAACTGTACTGTGTATTCTCAGTTCAGTTTTTATTGCCAAAATGTATGCTCATGCCCTGTGATGGCTATTATGACCCAAACTGTTGAGTTCCACAACCCTTTGGACGCAGGATGTCAGTCCATCGGGAACTGTTTGTGTGTACAAACATATATTTGTATGTGCATCTATTCTTAACTGCATGTTGTAAATCGGGTGAAGGTGTGTAGAGCAGACCATCAATGTTACATTCCGCAGTTCAGACACATTTTGTTCCCCTCTCTCATTGCCATTCCTGTTTTGTCGTATACCTTTTCCACGAACCACCATGACAGGTGTCTTCTGTGCAGAGCAGACACCTACGGTTTCTCTTCTTCCAGGGTAGGGAGAATTTCCTCTCCCAGTGGGCCTTTGCTTGACCCATCCTAGTGCTGCTCGCCATACTTTGCTGCTAGTTCGATTTCTCAAGGTTTGTCTCTCCTCACCCAGTCTGTCAGGCAGTGTGATTTGCCAGATTAGTGACCGCACATATATTTCCATGGTTACCAGTGGCAATGCTGCATGCACATGAGTAGAATTTCACAGCAGGAGAAGCTGGACCATGAGAAGAGAAAGCTCTTTATCCTATAACAAATACCTGGTTAGCACAGGGAACAACAACAACAACAAAATGCGGAGCCAAGTAATTTGCTTGGTCTTTCTTTGTACTGCCTGCAACGGGGCAAACCTTTCTTCTTGGAAATCCCACACACACACACACACACACACACCTGCAATTCTCATGTAGAATTAAAAGGACAATATTTGACTCCACAAAGGATTTTAAGTATAAGACGGAAAACCTTGTTTCTCTGATAATGAATCTGTTCAGTTGTAGCTATATTCATAGAAGTGGCTTATATTTGTGTGGTGTGCTTGACACCGGAACCAGGGAATTTTGTTGTTTGGTTGGTTTTTGGTGATGTCACTGAGCTTCAGAGATGTTTGCTCAGGTAGGCAGCGCAGAGTCAGAATTGGAAAGACGTGCTGGTCTGGTAAGTACCTGGTCCATGAGCATGCAGTGCGGCGCAGTTTGTGTTTCCTTCCCGACTTGCAGCTGTTCTCTGTGGCAGCCTGCTGGAATCATTGCTGTTCCCACTGGATGATATTGCTGGGTCATTTTAAGGACAAAATGTTCCCACTGGATCTTTTAAAGGACAAAACCCCACATTTTTGTGGACTGCTAGTTCAGTGGTAGGCAATGCTTGCATACTTGTTCTTCTTCCATGCCTAATGTTAGCAGGGGCCTGGAAACACTCAAACGTTGACCTGTGATACAATTTTGTTGTTTTTAGTTGTTCTGTTAGGAAATGAGTTGACTTTTGTGGGCCCAAGGTGAAAAAAGAAACTTTAATGTAATTTCTGCTAAAAATAGTTTGGGGTTCATTAAAATTAAACGCTATCAGATTGTTATTATTGCTACATTAAAAATAATAAGTATTGCTCTGTGATGTATACATACGCACACAGGTTGGGGGGCAGCTTCACAAAAATTCATGGGGAAATTTTCATTATCTTTTAAAGCAGGATTTGCCTCTGTTGTCTTTAACTCTTGCAAACCTTCCAGCATCTTCCCTGGCCTCTGTCATTATTTCCCTAACCCCCTCTTGTTGTATGCTGCTTTCCCCTTCACCCAAGGAAACGGGTGTGCTCCTGAACCTGTGGCGTCCCCACACTTCCTTTCCCTCCTGCCCCTGGTAACCGTCAAAGGAAGCTTCTTTTCTTGACTTTTTATCACCCAGGATTTGCCCTTTGATGATTGACTGATTCCACTCAGCATATTGTCTTTCAGATTCAGCCACACTGTGAGTTACTGTTTAACGTCGAGTAGGTGGTATTCCATTGTGTATATCTTTGTCATGAATTTGGTGAAGCATGTATGTGTCTGTATTTCCCCCACGTATCCATATGTCAGTTTGTCATATGGTAGTGACTTGTGTGCTAGTATGAGGCTGGAAACTCCATGCCAGGATTTCAAATATCAGCAGAGTCACCCATGGTAGATAGCTTTCAGCAGAGCTCTCAGACCAAGACAGACTTGGGGGGAAAGTCTAGTGATAGGCTTTCAGAAATGAGCGAAAACCATTGAACATCTCATGATTCACAACTGAGTCTTGTCTGGTACCCTGCTGGAAGATGAGTCCCTCTGTTGGAGGCCTTCCCGCAGCAGTGTGGTCCCCATACTGGAGGAGAGTATCCAGCAGTCATGGAGACGGTGCGCGAGCAAGCATTGTGTGTTCTTGTCTGGTCACATCACCTGGGTGACTCAATGGTAACTAACAGCAGCAATGTGGATTTCAACTAGACAAAGGCTCTCCTGGTACACAAGAAATCTGTAGGCTGGTAGAGAAAATCAATGATGGGATTCACTGCTGGGTGGTAAGCTTCCCCAGATTGTCCTGGAAATAAATCTGTAGTAGCATGTTCAGGTTTCTGCTCTTGCTCTTGCTCCTGGCCTGTTTGCAAATATTGACAATTAGAAACACCACTTAGAGAAAGACTGTACTTATGGTTATAATTTTAGTGTAGGAAAGATACAACAGCGAGAAACACAGGAAAACATCTGGGAGGACCCTAAATGCAGCACTTGTGCATTTATGTCTGTAGATGCATTGCCGTCCGTTCCAGATGCCGATCTCTAACGGGGAAACTCAGTGAGAGTCAGTGCCAGAAGTTACCGAGGTTTCTTTACAGGCAGTGGTGCCAGGGTTGCAAACGCCCATGAGCCAACCCTTGTAAAGCCTGTTACACGAAACATTTTAAGTACAATAACAGTTCTTAATATGCAATATGTATCAACACATAATTATTACTTTATTATTATGTCAGAGTAGTTTTAGTGTATCTGGAAGTGTTTCTGTAATTTTTTATGCATAAAATGTATACTCTATCTTAAGAAGACTTGACTGACATCAGATACAAACCACATCTAAGTGGTCTGTACAAATTTGACTCAGAGATAGACTGCCTCATAATCCAGTCTTCCTGTGTCTCACGACCTTTGATTGAATCACTGGCTCCGTGACCAAATGTGGTCTCAGACCCCCTCACCGAACTGAGCTGGTATCACAATGCTGGCGCCCTCTGATCTAACTCCCCTCCCCTCCATCATGTCATCTCATGAGGTGGTAGGGGTTCACCACAAATAACAAAGACACTCCTCAGTCACGGAAGTCCAACGGAAGTCCAACAGCTTGTAGGTGCGCCTTTCTGGGAACTTCCTTTGTGAAGTATCCTTCACTCCATGATGAGCATTGGGTTTCCAGTGGTTTGGGGGTTTCATTTTACACTGATGGCATGAATAATACTGCTGTTAATATGTTACACGACTGATGGTTTCTTTCTAAGTGTACACTGGAGTGGGCAGTTAGTTACATTTTCATGGGGATGTTGATGAAATTAGGAGTAGTTCAACCCGACCAAGCTGTGTTTTCTCCGTTGTCTCAGGGATTGAAGCGGTTAATGACCATTTGCCAGAAGCACTTTTCCACAGACCCGTCCAAGTGTGTGGAGTACAATGCGCTGTGAGACTGTGTGGCACAAACAGCACACGATGGCACGGGGCAGGCTGCGGACGTCGGGAACTGCTGAAAGGAAGGGGGGAAGAAGACAAGCGGACTTGTCGGGCTCTGCCTCCTGCCTGGTGCAGCCCCTGACCAGCGCCGGCTCTTCTGCACATCTGCCTGTGAACTGATTTTTAGTGTCTCCCTTTTCATTTTTGCCAGTCAAAAAATTAATTTCTGAAGACTGTTGCCCATACTTTAAAATGGTATTAAACACAGAGGGAGGGGGGTTGTAAATGACTTTTTCCTGCTAGACCTGGAAATGTGGTTAAATAATTAAAAAAACACATTTTCATAAACAAATTTTTGATGATACTTTAGTTTCTATAAATATGATAATTTGCACATTGTACTTTATGTTGTGTTTATAGAAAATATTTTTATAGTTTCAATAAAGGGAATCATGTATTGAAATGTGACAATTCTTACGTGTCACTGAACTTTTGCTATTTTGCCGTATAAACTTGAATGCATATAATCTCTTTTAACTCAAGGGTTACTCTTTGTATAGGTCAAGGTTTTGCTTTTATTTTCCAAGGAGTCTAAATTTTAATATTTATCATCCATCAAGAAAGTTGGAATTTACAGGAAATATAGCACACCATGTCTGTTTTTCATGCTTCTACCAACATAAACTCAAAGCAAGTAGCTCCCCGCGTCAAGGATCAGGAGTGGAAGTGGACCATGGAGCCCGCCAAGAATGAGAGTGTTCTGATGGTGCTGCTTCCTCTTCGAATCGGCCTGCCCACCCGGTAGGCTCATCATCCTGAGAGCTGTGGGCAGCTGCTGCTCCCAGCTATGTGCTGCCAAGCGGGAGAGAAGTGCCAGTCCTGACGTCACTGCCGGGGACATGAGATCCTGGTTCCCATTCTCCACACCACCGAGACTTGCTCTAAATCCTGCACCGTGTCAGACCCAGATGTTTGTCATGTCCTCTGGGCGTCCTTGCGGTTAATCAAGTAATGTGGGGGGATAGATGGTCACCCAGCCAGGGTGTGGGCTCTGACGCATAGCAATCCATAGGACAGAGTAGAACTGCCCCTGTGGGTTTCTGAGATTAGCTCGGGAAAAGGGTGCACAAAGCCCCCTCTCCCTCCCTCGGAGCACCTCATGGTTTCAAACTGCTGATCTTGTGGGTCACAGCCCACAAGTGTGGGGCTTTTTCTAAATCTCAGGGTTTTTTTGTTGTGTTTTCTTCGTTTTGTTTTTTCAAATCTCATTTTGAGTATTCCCCAAATTAATTTTTCTTACTCCAGGTCAGGCCACTGCATGGTAAGTAGCTGATTTCATATCATCTTCCCTTTGACGGCATTCCATGCAAAGGATCCATCGTATCTTGTGATGCCTGTACTTTAGAAGCCACTGCTCAGCAGAGGTGGAGAGTTTAAAGAAAAGCAACAGAACTAGCGTTCTCCGGTGCTGTGAACGTCAGCCTTTGAGGGTTTGGGGAGAGGGAAGTAGATTCAAAAATGTGGATCCCTTCAGGAAAAAAGATTGCTTGAAATGAAGGATTTTCAGATGATTTCAGGCGTCACAAGGAGATATGAAAAATGATCTCCCATATTCTCTAAATTATACAAATTTTAGCCCCACAGTTGAGTATTTCTGTTTTTAGCTCTGAAACAAGAAAAAGTTAGTCTTTCCATAAATCAATTACAAATCCTGAAATAACTTTCTCCCCCTCTCAGCTACCCTGGTGCCTATCCAAGAGTGTCTCTCTCTGGACGTCCATGGAGTAAAATACGTTCTCCCTCCGAGGTAAATTCTGCATCTGCTAGGGACGCTCTTGCTGACTGCAGAGCCTGCCTGTGCAGTGTTTCTCAGCATTGCAGCCCAGAGCCGGAGGCAATCTCTAGTCATGGTTGTGATTTCAGTCTTTGGGGAAATGAGAAAATAAGAGCGAGGTGCAAAAGAGGAGGGGAGGACAGACAGATCCCGTGCGTAGGAGGGGGACGTCCTGTGAGACTCCAACTCCCACTAGCCAGGCAGCTGTCACTGATGCCGACCTGGGTGATTTGCTGTGGACTCAGAAGTGCGTGAGAACTCGCAGGGCAGAGAATCGGGTTGACTGCAGTGTAGCTTTGCTCGAAGCTCTTCCTCCTGTCGATTCCCTGATTGCTTCCAGCCCGTTACATTGCTCTGGGATTTGACCTCAGGAAATAGTGTAGAAATACAGCTGCGCTTTTATTTGAAATAAAGTGATACTTTATATCCATAAAGTTATCAAATTAATAACTTGGAGGAGGCTGGAAAACATTGTCATCTGATAGATCTGAATTTGGGGATTCATCCCAAGCTCCTTCCGGCCACGCAACATCCCCTTTCATAGCGAATAAAGCTTCATAGAGCTAAGCAGAGCAGCTGTACTCCTGAGACCCTGCTAGTTCCTCTCTCTTGAAGAGCCGTGTCTCTTCCCCACCCCCTCACCCCAGTGTTCTCCCATGAAGGCCCTGAAAGAATAGCTTGATCGGGTACAAACGTATGGTATGATATCAGGTTGTGAGTCTTGAACAGAAAAGTGCTTTCTCATGCAACTTTACGTAGCAGTTCCCATCTCTCCTAAGTGTGAGCAGCCCCAGGCCCCAGAGGCTGCTCCAGGACACTGTGATGGCAACTCTGCCTCATCACAGACTCCACAGTTAGCTGGTTGAATTTTAACCACCGTAGTGCTTTTAATAGTGGCCTTAAAATCTTTTGAAATATAAAAAAAAGTTCTGGTGGTGTGGGGTCAAGTGGGTTTCTGGTTGTAGTGTAGCTGGCAGCAGCAGCTGCCGGGGCATGAGCTCGTGCTTATTATATATGTTATATAAACATGTATATTATATATGTGCAGTTAGAGTTCATTGTTAAAAATTGATTGTCCTCATGTTAAACTAGGATGGTTTAGCACTTAGACTAATGCTTCTTTCAGGGGCCTAACTACGTAACTGGGCCACTTTGGGTGTGTTGATGTGTAAACTAAGAAGAGTTTTTACATTTCAGAGAGGGAGAGAGGGGAGCTTTCTACCTGTGAAGATTTACAGCCTTGGAAACTCACCGGGACAGTTCTACCCTGTCCTATAGGGTCGCACTAGGAGCCCTCATCGACGCGATGGCAGTGAGTTTGATTTTTGGTTGGACATTTCTGATCATCAATTTTGTACTCAACCGTTTCAACTACTTAGACCCAGCCCCCAATAGCTTACCCTCCCCCACACCCCAAACTTAGCTTCCCTTCTCCTTGTACATTGCTCTCTTCCCCTTCACCCAAGTTAATACCGGTGAAGGAGAGCCTATTGCTTCATTTTATAAAAAACAGTCTTTTGTTTAGTCTCTCTTCCCGGCCCTTAAACACCAGTTTTGAAATAATTGTCAGCTTTCTCAACGGTTTTGCCCTCCCAGTGTTCCAACTTAATGCAGGCTTTTCCCACGGCGCGCAGCACAGAGCGCCAGCCGGAGTGGCTCTTTGGGCACTGTTGGTGAGATTCAGTCACTGAGCTTCTGACCATGATAGTCAAGTGCATTTGCAGTCTGGTCTTGCCTTTCTGAACTGCCAGTCTACCAACTCGCCCCAAACAAACCGCTCTGCACTCACACTGCTCTTTCTTGAAGCCCGGCTCCCCGAAGCAAAACAAAACCCAGCACCATCTATTCCAGTGGTTCTCAACCTGTGGGTCGCGACCACTTTGGGAGTCCAACGACCCTTTCACGGGGTCGCCTGATTCATAACAGTAGCACAATTACAGTTGTGAAGTCACAACAAGAATACTTTTATGGTGGGGGGGTGACCACAACATGAGGACCTGTATGAAAGGGTCACGACATTAGGAAGGTTGAGAACCACTGTTCTATTTGATTCTGACTCACAGAGACCTTGTAGAGCAGGGCAGGGCTTTCTAACTCTTTAAATCTTCACTAAACAAACACAAACTTGCTGTTGCGCTCTAAACTGGTTTTACAACGTATTAAAGGATCCTGATGGTATAAGGTGAGCAGTTCAAAACCACCAGCCACTCCGTGGAAAGATGGGACTTTCTACTCCCATAGTTACAGTCTCAGCAACTCCCAGGGGGGCGTTCTACCCTGCCCTACAGGTTCGCTATAACACTTAGGTCTCCAGGTTAGTGTGAACTTAAGCCGATTATAAAGCCTTGAGTACTTCAGATAATACTTGTGCAGCAATTATGCTTTTGTTGAACATGAAGAAACGTAGCCATGAGAGGGGAAAAAGAACCAAGACAAGCAGCATGTCAGCACCATGGACCATGACTATCCGTCCATTGTGTGTAAAGCAAGACTCAACAAGCTATGAAACAGATGCAAGATCAGTTGTGTGAGGTAGGGTGGAGGCCGACCCAAGGACTCCAGTGTTATACACCCAGTGTCATGGAAATCAAGCAGAGGCTGGTTCAGCCTTTCTCTGATCAAGACCCAGGTGACATTTATTTAAATGTAAAGATTTAAATGAAGATCACCACATCATGATCAATTTTTCACAGAGTAGCTAGCACCCAGACCAGAAAAGCTGGTTGCTCACGTCTGAGAAGGCCCTCCATGCCCCCTTCCAATCCTGACTTCCTATACCATCAATGTTTTTCCCCTCCAGTTTTGATTGATACGCAATTGATCTACCATGAAAACCATTCATGTGAATTGTACACTAGTTGTTAGTGTATTGTTGTGCACCCATCCCCATAGTCTCATTTTTTATTACCCCAGAGAGAACTTCCAGCCTACCTACCAAGTATTAGCTATCACGTCTCACATAGCTCACTCTTTGGCTTCTTTGGCTCAACGTGCAGTTTCTGATCCTCACCCTTGCATGTGGCTGCGGTCCAGTTTCCATCCTGCTGTTGATAGTCTGTCTGAACCTTTTTTTGTGTGATCTCTGACTAGTATAAGTTTCTGTACCAAGGTGTGGAATTGCCAGGACATGGGCTATGCATAAACTCAGCTAGTGGAATAATTTTACAAATCGCTTGTTCCAGCTTACATTTCCACTATCAGTGTTTGAGAGTTTCACTGGCTCCACACCCAGCCAGCTTGTCTGTCTCCCTTGTTTTTATTTTAG